ATTAGCTGAACAGGCGTCGACAGCTTCCTCCAGAGCACCCCTGGTACCTACATGGGAATGTGTCCGAAAATGGCTTGATTGTAGCCGAGAGTCAGCTAAGAAAACACCGCCAGACCGAACTCAGTTTACCACTCATTTCCAATAGAAAAAAGAAACAAGTCGCTCTTTCCTCCTGCTGGCCCGCCGGGCTGAGTGGTGCTGCTGCGGGTGCGGCTGCTCGGAGCCTCCCTGGCCGCCCTCCCCAGGGCCGATACTGACTCCATCTGTCAACTTCGTTTAGACTTTGCCGCCCTCAGCCGCACGCCGGGGTGCCAGACGCCCAAAGGTAACGTGCCAATCCTCTCTCTTTCTGGCAGGGCCACTAGGCTCCCCGACAATTGTTAGGGCGACTGCGGGGCGCCGCAGGGTTGCGGGCCGCTGGCGACCGTGGGCGTTTTCAGAACTTTGAGCAGAGGGATTTAGACTGAGAAACCTAAGCCAAGTTTTAAAGACTGGAAACCTGGATCTCATGGAACTCATGGTTGCTTCCACTTCTTCCCCCCACGCCCCCGCCCCAGTTAGTGTTTTGTAAGAAAAAAATGCAAAAAGAAAAAAAGAAAGAAGGAAGGAAGGAAGGAAGGAAGAGAAAGACCCAGAGATAAGCGAGATAGCTGTATTTATATGCAGTCCTGAGGGGTGTGCTGTCACTAGATTTACGTCCTCCGTCTTACCATGGCCCACCCGAAACTGTACCAGTTCTCAGCTAACTCCTGTCCGAGAACACTTCTCCCCAGTTGTGGCTAATTCCTCCCTAAGTAAGAGTCAGGCTCTGAGAGAGATGTGCCCTCGGGAGCAATCATTTCCAATGAGACCCGACAGTTAGTTATTGGATTACACGTGCGGGGAAATGTAGTCCGACCAGGGATAGGAGCTGGAAGAGGGAGGAGGAGAGCAGGAGGCCGGAGCTGGCGGGGCCTCCCAAGGGCTGAAGGGGGAGGCCCAGAAAGAAGGTGCTGCAGACCAGGGAACCAAATGGGAGGCAGAGCTGGGCACCCCGCTGCGTCTAGGCTGAAAGGAGGGAGGTGCACGGGTGTGCCTGCTGGGGAGCCTGGGGAGTTGGAGGAGGCCGGAGAAAGGGAGGTTGTGCAGTGATCAGGAGGGAGACACCAGGCAGATAGCCTTCAACTTGCAGCCGCACAGCCGAGGCAGGCCCCTTGGGGCGGCAGGAGCCCTGTGTGCCCCTGGAGTGCTGGGGGACTGCTCCTGGCTGAGTGTGCTGGTGGGGCTGTAGATGCAGAGAGGGCGGGTGGGGAGGGGAGGGGGATGTGGGAGGGGGTGGGCCGGGGCTGGCCCCAGACAGTGACCTGAGGTTGAGTGGAAGCAGGCTTTTTCCATCAGACCCTGCCTGGATACCACACACAGAGACCGAGTGTCAGTTTACTGCCCTGAGCCGGCTCCTTCTCCCTAAGCTCCACAGTAATTAGACAAAGAAAACCTAAATTAGCTGAACAGGCGTCGACAGCTTCCTCCAGAGCACCCCTGGTACCTACATGGGAATGTGTCCGAAAATGGCTTGATTGTAGCCGAGAGTCAGCTAAGAAAACACCGCCAGACCGAACTCAGTTTACCACTCATTTCCAATAGAAAAAAGAAACAAGTCGCTCTTTTCCGGGTGGGATGTTTTGATTGGGTTGGGGTAGGGGCTGTGGAGTTGTTTCCACTTTCTAAGAATTTCTGACTGACTGCTGAGCGTTTGTGGGGGGTGGGTCTCCATGTATTTCATGATATTTTTTCTCTTGCCCTCATTTGTCATTTTATGTGGAGTAACTTAAAAATACGTAACTAAATATAAAAGTAAATATAATGTGTTCACTAAACCAATGCTCTAAGTGCCTAAAATATAATTATTTTCATAAAATAGAAGCTGGAATGGGGAGGACAGATAGGATCTTAAAGGAGTTCTACTGACACAGTTTGTGTGTGTGTGTGTGTGTGTGCACACGCATCAGCCCAGGGGAGAAGCTTGTGGGGAAAAGGACAACTATCTCACTTGTAGTTGGGGTTGGGGGGCAATGGGCTTTGGAAACTTTCAGCACTCTTTGTCACTTAGCCACGGACCCTCGCTGTTTCTCTGTGCCTGAAAATTATATGTATTTGGATCTTAGGGAATACAGATCCAACCTTTTAAGAGCAGGCCTTAAAAGGTTTTAGGACCCGGAGACTGAAGAATAAAAGGCGCTAACCCTAAAATCCAGGCAGGACCAGTGATAACCTTCTGTACTAGTAGCTCCCAGGTTTCGGGTCATCCTCTGAGAATAGGATGGACGCTATGGAGCCAGTTTCCAGAAAAATACTTCCAATTTGCCTGGGATTTTAGGAAGTCCACAGGTACGCATTAAAACAAACCAACAAGCAATAAAACAAAACAAAAAACAAAACAAAAAAATCCCGGATTCTTTTAGTTTCTACCAATTCAGCTGGTAAATTATGAGGGATTTTTAAAAGGCTCCTGTCTCCATCCAAGTAACAGCAGTATCCATTTTACCGAAACTCTAAACTTGCAAGAAATCCCACTTAGAGTGTGGTGAGTGTTGTGAGGGCCGGCCAGGTCGTGGAAAGGCAGTGGACATTGGAGAGCAGTGAGGGCCAGGAGCCGGTCTGCTGACTTCCCTCTGTGCAGGAGTCTGCATACTGCCCCTGTAGACCCTGAACTCCAGAAAGATAAGCAGCTTGGGGCCTTCTTAAGCTATATCAGCAGGAAGGCTCCCCTCCAAAACTCTTTCTTGGATACCCCACTTCTGCCTCTGGAAACTACTCTCAGAGACCACCACTGGGTCTATAATTACTAAAGCCCTGCATCTGTGTGTTACAGACCTCGTAGATACCATCTTGTCACCCAATAGCTGGCCCAGATATCATCCTCCTCCTTTTGAGATGAGGAAACTGAGGCTCAGAGACTGGGTGACTGGCTACAAGTCACACAGGGCAAGTGACAAAGCTGGCCTGCAGCCTGGGCCTGGAACTCCAGAGTCAGTGTTCCTTCCACTGCATTACAGCAAAACCTCTCTGAGCTTTGTTTTAATCACTGATATATACAAATCTCTTGAGGAAGAATGTATGTGATAGCAAATTATGTCAATTTCTGCATCCCTGGGAGGAATACCTTAATTTCTGGTTAGCAGGCGGTTTAAAAGGAAAGTTGTGTTTGTCTCTGAAACAGAGCCTTGCTTAGGATGGCTCCCCCAACCCCCCACTGGGGTTCCTTCTTATGAGGATGAGCTCTTCACTCACTTTCACTCCCTATAAATAACACGAATCTTGATTTTTTTTTTTCTTACGGGAAGGGAAGGTATGGTTCATATAAATGAGT